ACGCAAGGCCCCAGGCTTTCCTCACCGTGCCCAGTCCATTGCAATTCTTGGATGGCGGTGACGTCGGCCATTGTCTTCACGAGGACATCAATCAGCCGAGCAGAGGCAGTTTCCCCATTAAGGGCCCGATTGTTCCAGATGCATACCCTCAAATCATAGTCCTTTATACGTTTGCCATGGTCCTCATGAAAAAAGAGGGTCTCTTCAGAGACGTGTTTGTATTTTTTATTGGGCAGGGTTTTAGCGTGGCGGGGCCCAAACCCAGCGCACGCGAAGATCTACGCCTTCTCACTTTAGTTCGCTCCCATACGGGTGTTTGGTCGCTACACAGGGGATATGTAGATATAGATATCTGAGGGGAGATTCTGTAACTAGTTAGCGACAATGTGAAATTCTAATATTAAAAAGTATTAATCAGATTTTAATCTTAAATAACTGGTCGCAGTTTTTCGATATGTAATAGCGACTGCTACTTTATCAGTCACATTTCGTAACAGTGACTGCGACTGTTACTGTTATTATGGAAGGCGCAATCACGGTGACTTTTTGGAAGTTGTCACGGCAGTTACACCTGACTTTTGAGTAACCGTGACAAAGTCACAGGTAGGCAAATATCTGCCACCTCTAATGTGCACAAGATCCTGAACAGACCTATTGCAGTCTAGGAATTTGTTATGCACTTAAGTTATATCAAAGAACGTGGATAACAAGAAGGGACAACTCGTTATAATTGTGGCGAAAGTGCGCAACAGGGGCACGTTCTTTGGTTATATTTACTTGAGTTATAATTTTTTTTTAACAAACGCTTCTGGCAATGCCGACAAGAACTTTTTTGTTTCAATTTTCAATGCAACCATGCTAATCGACGACAAGTGCAATAGAAGATAAGAAAAAGGGGTGTAGGAGTTGTGATTTTGAGCAATTTTAGGCATTCTGCCTTTGAATAATAATTTTTTGCTTTTTGTCACTGCATGAGTGATTAGTATCTTACTTAAATATATTTATTAATACCAGTTATCAGTTTCCATGTGCTTCCAAATTAGTGTGTTCGAGACGTATTGACCTCGAGTGAACCGAAGTTGAGCGACCTCCCAAGAACATCAATGTAGCGGAAAGCAACATAAAAGAACACAATTAAACCAGTGGAAATAATCAGTCGTAGGTACATGCTGGACTATCAATGCACTATGCATATTAATTGTAAACTTTGGCTTCAAGTCACACAATAGAAGATAGAACTAAGGTCGTACAAATAAGAGCATCTGAAGTGTTTGCATTGGTATATGTATCACGTCCGATATGGGCGCAAATGGTTTCAAAACCGAAGGTATGTATAAACGCGTAAGGTTTTCCATGTTGTATGTTACTGTTTATGATTCTTACTTTCCACCACATTCGTAGATAACAAAGCAGCAGTTACAATTGTGCATCACGTTACTGGAAGCGGCAATGGTACTAGTAGTGGCAGTGTAGCAAATAACACGACTGCGGCCAATATGAGCATTGAGACGTGTCTGGTATGTGGAGATCGCGCATCAGGTACGTTAACATAGATAATGAATATAATATGTGTTATATGTTTTAGAAAAATAGGTTAATATGAATTTCTACTAGGTCGCCATTATGGAGCTATATCATGTGAAGGTTGCAAGGGCTTCTTCAAGCGTTCCATACGCAAGCAGTTGGGTTATCAATGCCGAGGCTCGATGAACTGTGAAGTAACCAAACATCATCGCAATCGCTGTCAATTTTGTCGTCTACAAAAATGTTTAGCCAGCGGAATGCGAAGTGATTGTACATACTTTTCATTTATTTCGACAACACATTTTATTCCTTTAAAGCTTTCTGCTAAATAGTAGTATACACAAATAGGATACGGGACGAGATTTTGTGAATAGGACTTGATCTTAAATCGCTCGATTTTTTTGGTATACTACCACACTTCAATGCAGCAGCAAACACAAAATTGAAAAAAGGAGCAATAACCTGAATAACGAAGTTTAATTAAAAAATTGCAAAGTTAGGATTATATAATGATAAATATTTTATTTCGGTTTTAAGTTGGGTTGTTGTTGTTGGGGATTGTGTGGTGTTGACAGCCCTTGGCCAGATATAGATATGGGTCATTCCGATTACGAAGACCCAACTTTCATCATAACGAGATTAACCTAAATTTTTGTTGGCTATATCACCATGAAAGCCCATCAATCAATTAAGAATTACATCAATTTAATTTTATAATTTACCAAAAACTTTGGTGAAAATCATATTAGCCCTTATCTAGAGGATTTCGCTGCAGCGCACAACGTGCGTCTAGAAGTTCTTGGCTCAATCACGCTCATAGTCATATTCATTATTCGTCTATATTGAGGTCAGCAATAAATAGTATGTTTTAACATTTCTTCAACGTAGCTGTTCAACATGAACGAAAACCGATTGTTGATAAGAAGGAGTTTGCCGGCAGCTCTTCTTCGGGCTCTTCTACTTCAACAGTTAATGCTGCGGCAGCTGCAGCTGCTTTGAATGCCAACAATTCTGCTACCGGTGGAGGAAATATGCTATTTAGTCATAACTTAGCAAACAGCGGTGTACCCGCCAATAACAATGAAGTACCATCGACCTCGAAGCCTTCTTCCATATTTCCATTTAATTTGGCATTGCCTGAAATGAGACAGGGTAAGATTTGTTGCGAAATAAAATATAAAAAAAATTTACGAAAAGTATTTCCGTTTTTAGCAATGGCAAACAATGCTGATGTAGCCGTTCCACCTTTACCATTTCACCTTACTTTTGCTGATATGAGACAAAGTACAAAATAAATACACAATTTTTTTATCGCTGTAGATCAGTCATTAATTATAAATATTTTTGTTTTCTAGTAATACAAAATGCGAAAAACTTTCAGCAAGAAAAAGAACTTTCTGCGCAAACTCAACCACCACAGTCGCTCTTCTATTCACCGGATTTGGCAAAGATCGGCGATGAAGATGAAGATGATGACGAATCTTTGGACAATAGCAGCACCACGTGCCTACAAAACCTAACCACAAACGCCAATAATAATAACACCCAAAATTTGAACCTTAACATTGACCCAATGCACAGCCCTGCCACAGCGGTCGCACAAATACAGGTGTCATTGGACAGACGTGTTATTGAAAAAGCATTACAATTGCTGATTCCCATTCAAAATCAATTGGACCGTTTGTCCTTGGCCGCAGGCGGTGCAAGCATAAGTGGCAACATCGATGGATCGCCAATCATCAAAAGCGAAATAGAAGACGAAGACATGGGCGAAGGTTCGTAGTAAAGTTAGTTTAAAAAATTCCATGTAACTTAACCCCATTCTAAAAAGTAATATTACCTTTCATTCGGCTCCCGCATATTCATGGATCGGCTCTTTTCGTATTGTATATGCATTGTATATATGTTTTTGCCGTCTACAAATTTAACTAGATATTTCTAAACCTTCCAGACAGCGGCGCCGAGGATGTATACGATTTGGCTGAAGCGATACTTGGAGTTGGGAATATAAAGAATTTCGTTATAAACGAGTCTGTCTTCGAGAATGAAGTGTTGTCGGACGCTCAAGCCACTTTTAACCTTCAAGCTCCCACTTTGGTGTCAGCTTATCTCAATCTTCATTACATTTGTGAAACTGGTTCACGCATAATTTTCCTTAGCATCTTTTGGATGCGTAAAATAATGGCTTTCGATCAACTGGACATACGCTCTCAAATTAAATTGCTGCGAGCCAGCTGGCCCGGCTTGTTGGCAATAGCATTAGCACAAGTGAGGAGCCTGTCGGTTAGCACAATTATTACCACGCTGGTGGCAAATGTACGACAACTGGCAGAGATTGAAAAAATCGAACCGCAAAAGATACGAAAGCTGAGTGAACACATTTCTCGTCTGCATTCGTATATTCAAGATACGCTCGCATTGGATTTGGATGACATGGAATTCGCACTGCTGCGCCTCGCTATTTTCTTTAACCCGCACATGCTACCGAGAAATCGAGAACGCAATGTAAGAGACTTTGTGCGACGCGTACAACTTTATGTACTGTCAAGCTTACGTAAACATATCGCAAGTCAATTAGGTAATGAAATGCAAGCGGAGGAACGTTTTAGTACGCTGGTTCTCACTCTATTACCATTAGCGGCCTTAGAATCGGATGTTGTGGAAGAATTATTTTTTTCTAGCTTAATTGGACAAGTGCAGATTGACAATATGATACCTTATATTTTAACACTGAGCGCCAACACAAGCCTATAATAAGTCATTCATTGAGCGGCTTTAAGCGCCAAATGGCAAGAATTTTCCACGAAATGAAAGTAAGTTTATGTCGGTTAACACTTTGTCCACGGAAGTAATACCTCTAACTCTAGACTGTGTCACCTTTGCTGTGCTCTCAGAGCAAGCACTCGACTGCATCCACCCGGGGATCACCCACCGCGCTCCTTCAATTCAATATCGTAGTCTCATTGAAATCGCATAACAGCGACTTGGATGGCTAGTACTTAAGTATTCGAAGACCAACTCCACTTGGCTTCGCTTTCTTCCCCAAACTAGGGTAACCGACTTAAATACGTGTTCTGGGAAGCTAAATAAATTACAACAAACCTAGAAGTTTCGAGTCCGCACTTGAGTGTTAGTAAATGCATTGCATTCTGCTAATGCTAACTTTTAAAGTCAATAAAAATTATATTATACATAATTAAGTGACAATAATAACAGACTGAAGTAAATATATGTATAAAAGTTCAATCTAGCACTTTTATGTTTCTAAATATTTTGCTACCAGTTATGAGCAAAGCAGCGAAATGAACGTGAAATTTCAAATTTCACAAAGGCATTGCAAAAATTTAAGTGCAAATAATAAAGATCAGATCTTGGCAATTACAAGTGAATGTAAATTTTACATTTTAAAGTAGCAGTGAGTTAAGGTCAAGCTACTACATATGTCATAGATTTAGCTAAAATAATTTATACATAAATACATATGTATGCATAATGCGCATTTTTAATTTGCAAATAAAGTCAACTTTTTTACCAAAACTACACTTCGTTTTCGTTAATAATATAGCCGTAAATCTGCATAGTTTTTATTCTTTACAATTGCGCTATAAGTTGTACACGTTTTCGCCATTCGGTTAAAGTCGGTGTGAGGTCCCTCGCTGTTATGGCGGGCAAGCGTTTCAGCGAACTGTGTACTCCAATATCTGCAATTGATATTTCATCGCCACTAAAATATTTTTGTTTATCCAACCGTAGGTTAAGTTCACGCAGCATTGCAGCGCGACTCTTGCTCGTGCAACGTAATAGCTGGTAGCAAATGTCAAGTACAGCATCGATTTCATTGCAGTTTGGCGAGTCTTCATAGCGGTAAGCAGGTGGGCCAACACGACCCAAATATCTAACAATATTTACTTCGCCGTAGATGGGCACATACATGGTGGGCGAGCTGATCATCTCAGTATGTTCACCTTAAAAAGGAAGATATTTAGTCCTTAAAATGAGTGGTGAGCACTATTAAACACTTAATTACAATTTTTCCAAATCAACGACACATTCACTTTTGGCTTTGATGGATCAACCTTCACTTGTGCTAATTTCTTCTCAAAATCGGCAGCCTCTTTGCCAATATCTGGCATAGTAGAGTGCTTAAATGTTTTCACGTCAATGGTAAAGAGATCTTTCCAGGCATTCTTTAGCGCTAACAAAGCATAAGGTATGAAGTTAGGATGTCCATTAATGACTATATCATGTAGAGGTTCCTGAAAAAATATTGTACGTTTTTTTATTTATGTTGATTAAGAATGTGCCTCACAATAATTAAAAATTTGTTCCTACCTCTAATAAGCCCCCATTCTGCAAACTTTGTTGCACAGAGTGCTCCGATCCCTTTTGACAAAGACCCAGAGTGGCCCGTATGCTGGCCATCTGTTGTTTTAATTCCTGTAGTTGCTTTAAAACTTTTTCTTGTCGAGTGGTAACGGATGAGGCATCATTTGATGACTATAAAAAAAGCAAGGATTTTGTTATTAATATCAATGAGAATACCTAGTATGATTTATTATGTTAGTACGGGGTATATATTTTGCATTTCTATTATATTTTGTTCTTCACCAAATGCAACCTATCCTCGAGTTATTAAAACATTGGTAAAATTCTGAGCAACTAAGAAATGTCAGATGACAAACAGAATGCCATTAGAAGACGTATGCGTTGGATTAAAATAGACCATGCATTTTTACATTTCTATTGTACATACATACAGATATCAGATACAGTCGGGGGAGCCACTAGTGAATGTTATTCACGTACCTCAAAGTTTTGAACAGTTTTGACTACTTTTCTTTTGCTTTTTTAAGGTTAATTAATTTTTGAATAATGTATGCATTTTTAACCAACAACACCCATATAAATCCAAATTTCAAACTTGGTATAAAAATTATAAAATTCCACAAACTTTTCATCTCGGTTCCAAGCATTTAGAATTTCTATGCATTCATTTTTGATATTTTTTTTCTTAAGGTGTTATGCGCTTTCTTACATATAAAAAAATACTTTGTAATTAAAATGCTTGAAAATGGGATGCAAAATTTTTGGAACTTTTATCATTTTTCGACAACGTTTGAGATTTGGATTTGCATATGTACATACATATGTATGTCCTTTGTTAGATAAAGGGCTACATGTTCATACATACTTTTAAAGAAAAATAAAAACATTAAACAAACCAAAGATAAAGTCAAAACTGATCAAAATGTTGAAGTGCTATCGTTTTGTCGTGGACTGTACATGTATACATACATACTGTCAAGTTGAAACTGTTGAATGTACATATCGTCGATGTTTTTGCAAAACCACCCATCGACCAGTTGCAAAACCGCCTTAATCGCCGTTGTGACAAAACTGCGATTTGGTAACCCTCTCTAAACTCCAGGCATCGAGATTTATGCATAAAAATCGTTGAATCGTTATTAAAACAACAAACTTGTAAAATAATAGCTAGAGAAAATACCGCCTATCAAGGCAATGCCTTCAAGGAATAAACCGTTTTTCCGCTGTTGTAAAATTTGAGTGCCGTAAGATAAGCGGTTTTGCAATTGGGCGATGGGCGGATTTGCAAAAACATCGACGATATGTATTTGAAAATAAAACTAAAAATAATTTGCATATGCTTCAACTGATAAAGTAGTGAGGTATATGTCTGTTAAGGAAAGTTAATCAGAGACTGTATTCGAAATGCATTAACAACCATAATACAAGAGAGGCATATCGCATTTCTCTAAAAGTGTTTAGATCACACTTTTTCTTTATTCGTCGAGCAACGGATATTTTTTTTATAATTGGAAGGACCTACAGTTTTATGAGGCATCTAGGCGAAGGCGGTTTTAGGAGTTAGTTTGCGGCAGCACTTGTATACATATATAAATAAGTATGTACCACAGCAAGAGGTTTGTTTACGAGTACTAAGGTATTCAGAGGCTTGTTTAAGGATAGAACGTCAATAGTTTAGTTTTTTGGAGCGCCACGTCCGCTGATAATTGAAATTAAAATTTTAAATAAACGAACTTACATTGAAGGCTTTACATTTATGTATCTTAATGGCATCCGCATTTTTTACATGCATTTGGCGGAGTTCGTATTCATGTTCTTTACACAATTATTGAGTTAGTTTCTAAAAATGATGTTTAAACAGAAACACAGCATATACATACTTAAAATAAAAATTAAATTATACATAATTTTGAAAATTAACCTTGAGTAAAGTCTGAATTTGTGCACTTAAACTGTCCAAATCAAGCACGCACCCATTTTTCTTCGGCCCACAGGAGTTGATAGCGGACGTGGCGATAGAATAATTGCCATTACAAAAACCCTTTAACACAATGCACAATTTTTAATTTATTCTCAAATAAACTAAAAAAATCGTTCAATTAAAACATCTGCACTTACGCTGCTTGCGTTAGCTTTTGCAGGAGTGGCTGCCAACGAAGCGTTGAGCACTTTCATCGGATACATGCAAGCTGGTAATTTTATATCATGTTCCGGCAAAAGTGTTTTTAATTCGTACATATTTGTTTCAACTTTTTTATAACTGATTTTTAAGAATTCGTAGTTTTTCGGTGGCGATTTTCGACTTCCAATTGGATTTTTTTTTGCATAAAAAGCAAAATTCTCGTTTGACAGCCAAAGGTGTGCGCGGAATAGAGTAGTGACGGGCGAGCCCAAGACGTTTTAATCGATTGTCTCGATTGTTCAGATATTCGAGGTTTTCTCTCGTAGGCGAATTACCACTCGCTTACAGCGTGTTTACATTAGACAATGCTATCAAGACAATAAATAAATACGTACTAGTTGTCAAAAACGCTAATATGGAAAAGTATGCATATATTAGTGAATAAGTGTGCATGTTTTGCTATTTTCATGACAGTAGCTTCCGGTGTAAACCCTAAAAGTATGTTCACACATCAATATTATCTAAATCAAAGCTCACTTTTTAATCACCCCGTTTACACAGGCAAATCTCAGATTATTAGCCGTCAAATTTGTTATGCTTGTTATCATGAACCAATTAGAACAAATTACTTTTTTCTTTTGCTTCATCTTGTCAGATCTTGTGCAGTTGGCTTGTTATTCTTACATATCAAGGAAAAGTTATGTTTCTTCTCTGTGCCACCGTGATAACGTTTTTCTGCTATATTGAGCAATATAAATATATTTTAAGTTAACATGTTATTAAAAATACCTTTACAAACTTCTTTTCCTTGCTAGCGTCCATTTTGTTTACTTTTACATTTGGCATTTCTCCTCTTTTTCGCAAACACAATCGATAAAACTAGGATGGACACCGAAAAGTTATCGGTTAAATCTGAGATTATTTTATAATTACAGATTAACAAGGGACGAATTTTATTATATGGCTCATTTCTTGTTCTAAATACAGATTAGGGTGTTAAGCTCGAAAATGAGGATAATCTACTTATATGTGAACCTTGTATAAGTAAAACAGCGATGGTAAGAAATTCGGCACGACAGATATGGTTTGACAGTGGGGGTCAATTCCCGTTCTGCGTTATCGTGAAGTGAAGTGAAAAGTCAAAAATTCAAACCGAAATAAGTGCGGTGTGCATTAAATAAATTTGTCAATATCACAAGCACTACTATTTTACACTTTTTTTTTTAATTAAATAAGACTAAGGCCCAATTTCAGATGGCCTACTTAAGTAGAGATTTACCTTGTTTATATGGCATCAAACGCGGTATCCAATTAACTCGTGTCAGCGTACTCCCTTGAAATGCAAGTGTTTATATGCAACACAAGAAATGAGTCGATCGAACACACTTTCAAACAGAGTTTATCCCGATGCAACCCTGTTAATACATGTGTCAATTCTTGAAAATAGTGAACATTGAGAAATAATAATTCCAGACTTAAACAGCCTTGTAAAAATTATCTAAGTTGTTAATTTTATAACAAAGGACGAATTCCGTGTTTATATGCACTCTTAACCCGATTCATCAACTCTTATCTCGCATTCAAAATGTGATTTATGGTGGCACGGTTAAAAGTTCCAATCCGATTAGAGAATGTGTTTACATATAACATGGTTTGACTTTAAGCTCAGTTTGAGGTCTATTCTGCGCTGGTAATAAACATTTTGTAACCGGTAAGTAAAGTTCCTGTCAATTTTTAAACCCTTTTCGCATTATGTGCTCTTGTAACCGGTAAATTTTGTTACTATCTCATAAGCTGGTAACAAAGTATTACCCCGTGAAATATGCAATGCCAGAATTTATTTATTATTTTAACTGCGTTACCAACGTACCCAGAATCGCGATGACAAGAACTGGTATAATTTTTTCGTAATAAAATTTTCCGGTTACAAAATATTCGGTAACGTGCAGAATTGATCTGTTAGTCTAGACTTAATTTCCGTAACTTAACTTAACTTAATATTTTGGCCAACCTGTTATATGAGAAATTGTGTTGGCGGTTAGTTAAAACTAAGTGATATCTTTATAATTCCGCTAACTAACATGGGGCCCACTGAAATATGTTGCTCTGTGGCTACGCCTCTGAATATTTTTACGTTTTCGCGTTATCGAATGTTCTTGTCCATTGCAAATGGAAAACATCTGTCATTTTTGATTTTTTGCTTTGACCTGTCATTCGAGTTTTGCAGTCGCAGTCGCCACAGTATTTTTCTTTCATTTATTATTTTCGTAGGTGCTTTGTGGTTTGGTTTCGTACAATTTGAATTTCACCAATTATATTGCATTGCAAATTCTCTAAACAATTCAATATCGTTAAATAAATGCGCAGTACTCTAAGTGAAAGTGAAATTTAATGAAAATATGTATGAAAAGGTTATAAACTTTGAATTCAAAAGAAAGTGAAATGCCCAAAGTCGACGCGGTCAGAAGTCATTGAGCAAAGAAAAACGGCGCCATTTTAAGAATATAAATGCAGACGGATAAATGTGTATGTATGAAGGAGTCGAAGCAACGAATAACAGACAAAAGCAACAAAGGGAGAAAAGTGCCAGCAAATAGAAGGAAAAAGTGAAAAGTGAATTTTGAAGCTAATTTTTTCTTATGATTTTTAATTAGAATAACTAAGAAATTGTGTAAGCGTGTAATGTGCATAGAGTAGTGAACAAAATTAATAAGCATTTAGCGTAAGTGTATAGGCTGAAAAGAAAAAGGCAAAAATAAAATTGCAGCGCTCAGAGGAGAGAAAGAAAAGGAAAAATTGCAAAACGTGTAAGTGCACTAGATTACCAACTTTTATTATGGCTAGATTATAATTGTTGTATAAACTGAAAATATTCCAATGAATTCGCACTTTTAACTTTATTTACAGGAAAAAAACTTATTTAAAATGCGTTGTTGAATGAGCTAAGTAGGCGCTTTGTGGTTTTTGTATGTGTGCGTTAATAGCCGTATGTATGCACTGGGTAACGGTGCTTGAAGTTGGCTAATTCCACTGACTATAGCTCACTAGCTGGTTGGTGTTTGGCTTGGTTGCGACGATGGTGGTTTGACCTACTTCATGCAATGGACTGACTACTGATGCAACCATAGCTGTTGATAGGGGGTAGAGGATTGAAGTTTTGAAACACGTAAATACATATTTTGGAAATAAGACCATTCAATTAATTAATAATAGGTAATATTCAATTTTTATGTATTACAAATAGTTTAGCTTTTCACAATCAGTATATCGTCCCGAACGATAAGCTATAGGTACATGCACCCCATTTATTTTGGTTTCGCATTTGTTAGTAGCACTTACATATTTAGTTGCAGCTGCATTTTTTGGCATTTATCCTGCGTCATGCTTCAGTTATTCCAGTAGTTGGCGCAGGAAAACGCTTCCAAAACCCGCCCGTGATATGACACACTGGCAATTTAAACAAGATAGCATGTACTACCAAACTAAGCATTTATTTATGTTACCACTTGGCTCGTGCTTGTAAAATTGCTTGTATCAGCGGGAGCGACGGCTCGGCTAAAACCTTTGTTCAAAGCCGTTGGTGGTAAAATTATAACTTTGTACGTATGTATGTTCGTACATAAGTTGGTAGGCATGCATGTTGTCTTAGTCACGTCGGCCTTTGATGGTATATTTTGAAAAGTGATACCTATGTAAATGCATTTTGGATGTATTTTTTCTTTTATGTACATTTCATACTTATGTATGGTTACTACAATATTTATGTACAGTGCACTCGCGAAAACTCGAACACACGATAACTAAAACGTTCGGAAACTTGAACATATTTTCTACACCATTGACTAGTTCACAGGATCTTAAACTTTTAAGATGATGGAACCCTTACTAAACACCACTAATTTTATGGAACCCCACATCAAATTACTAAAAATCAAAGGCATTGCAATTTATATGTGAATAAAAACTTTTACTAGAAATAGTATACGTACTTATACTTTTTACGAAGGTTTCAGATGATTTACCAAGTGCACAGTTATGACATTTCACATTTCATTTGGCAATTCATCGCATTCCATGTAGAACGTTGTATACATATAACAAGAGGTCGAAAATATCCCTCAACACTTTGAAAGTGTCCCAAAATAACCGTCCCTATTTAAGAGAAAAAATAACCCACAAAACAGAACAGGTGGTTTATTTTTTGTAGATGTGTACTCCTCAGTGGGATAGGGTTATTTGCATATATTTTTCCGTTGCTGTTGGACACGAACACTTATCGCTGGAAGAGGAAAAACAAGTTGTGGTTGTTGATATAAGCAACGTTAGCGTCATGGTCATGCGGTGGCAGGGTAGCGTGCTTTTAAATCCTTGTTGATTTAACATCCGCTATCAATTAAGAAATATATTTGATTTGTGATTTGATTTTTGACCAAATAAAAAATAAAATTTATTGGTGATTTGATTTGTCAACCAAATAAGAAATACAAATTTTTGATTTGATCGATCTTTCGATGATTTGACGGATCTTTGTTTTTGTTTTTAACATTTTCTTCATCAATAAAATAAAATAGCTTATTTTCGGTGTATCATATTAAGAATGTATACGCTCTCTTCTTTATCATAAATGTTCCCACATGTATGTGTACGTATATGTCCTATAAAGAAATGCCTAACGCTTTGCTTCGACTTATTACGCCTACTAATATTTTTCAGTCTTACAATAACCCACAAATTAAGACACTTAAAAATAAAAGTCCCTGACAAAGTGTTTTTGCCCAAGGGACATTTTAGCAGTCGATAAATTACCCACAACGGAAAACACAAAGAGATCACACAGAGTTGTTGTTGTTGTCGTTGTTGTAGCGGCTACAACGACTCCGCCCAGATCGGCTGATATCTCAGTCGTCGTCGAGTTCCACTAACGGCAGCCCCAGGAAGCGTGCAGCCTCTATGGGGTCGGTCCATAAGGACGACGCCGTTAGGGTTGTGGGGTTTTCCGTGCTTGCGAAGAGATGTCTGGAGTCATTTGGCTCACAACAATATCACTGTAGCCCAATTTGGCTCACTTAGACTAGGGTCGCACAGAGAAACTTTTGTTGCTCGTTTTCGGCGATTTCTCTTTTGATGTTGCCCTTCGCGTTCACACAGATAAATTCTTTTGTGCACAATTGTTGTTGTCAACTGCGAACGGTCAACTAGAATTACTCAGACGAGCGAGAGCACAAAGCGTGTTGCCCGAGCACGAGCAACTCGGTGCCCTTCCCCCTTCCTCGTCTCCCCCTCTCCCACAAGTAAGGAGTTGCCGCGACAAAGGTTTCTCCGTCTGAACCTAGACTTACAACAAACAGATTTCGTAGAAGAACAACACGCGAAATGTTCACGGACAAAAATCGATCGACTATCAGTTGGCATACAACAACGTCGCTGTGGCTCAGTTCACCGACACAATCGGTTCAACATTCAGTTGGCTTACAATAGGGCCTTTATACATATACGTGCTATTATTACCAAAGAAATATTGAATGTAGCCATGACGTGCCCAAAAAAAATGACTTATCAGCGTTCTTGGAGACATTAATTGGCACATAAACCGTACAAAAATTAAAAAAAAAACGAATTGGGCATCTTTTAATGCGGATTTATTGGGGTACTGTTTATTTATTTGTACAACGATTTTGGGTTGCTGTGCCCAAACGCGTGAATCGAGTCAAAAACCTTTTACACACACTTGTAGACAACAGTTCACGCTTTATTACAAAAATTTAATTTATTTAATCTGTATACCAATTTAACAATAATGTCGGTTATAAATATGGTATTTGTTGCAAATTTCCTAAATATATGTACACTGATTACTCTTATTCTGCCTTAAAGTAACCACTTAATATATACATTTTTATGTTTTTATTTACTTTACACATTACACTATTAGTTGTTAGTTGTTTTATTCCTTTAGTTGAAACTTATTCGGCGCCATGGGCGTAGCCAGGTAGGGGCAGGGGGGTGCTCGAGCCGCCCCCCCCCCTAACTTTCAAATTTTCCTTATATATATATAAAATAGTACCCTGAAATGCCAGCTTAATAAGGTCGATCAGTTTTTAATCAGTTTTTGTAGACCATTTCATTCTAGTATAATGAAGTGCAAGTTTCAAGCTGCTATAAAATCCCGTTAATTTTTGGCATTTTTTTTTGCTGGCAATGTTCTCCATATAAAAGAAAATTGTCGTACATACCTTTGTATGGAAAAAACGTGAAACAAATTCAACAAAAAAAAAATCATTTTTGTGAGCTGTCTGCAAATGTTTTTTGATGTTGGCTGTCGCTTCACCCGAACATTTGAAAAGAAATTCCAAAGAATCGGCAAATAATCGGCGAAAAAAGGCCGATGCCGATGCTCAATTTTGTGCCGATACTAGCCGATGCCGATTTATCGGTCGGACTCTATTCTGTATTCCAAAATACTCTGTTCCAATCATCTCGTTGATACATGTACTCAGGATCGATTCAAAGTACTCAGTATTAAGTGTCGAATAGGTACATAAAAGTACTGAGTTTACCAGCATTCAGAAATGATTCTACTTAATTTGAACTTTAAGTACAATACTTGTAGCCAGTAAAGTTGGCCATTCATTTGACGTAATTTCGGATTAATATATAAATTTGAATAAAGCGCTGCCAGCTTGAGAGATTTCTACACTAAGCATTGAAATGTTACCAACATGTGTACCAGAGATTGGAAAACGATGCTGTTTTTGTGACTTTAAACCTGCTCACATTTAAAACGGGGGATGAACGAACACCAGCACATAGCGTGCAGTGCTTGCAAATACAGCCACCGCAAGTGAACGATACTTATAACAGCTCATACTGATATCGACTTCGACCAGCAACCGCCGTATTTGATTGACTGCAGAAAGCACGATACTCCATTGGACGGTTGCCGAAAGCATAAGAGCTCATTTGGACGGTTGCCGAAAGCATGAGAGCTAATTTGGACGGTTGGCGAAGCAGTGTTGCCAGAGAAAAATTTCGTTTGGAGCTAAAACGGTCGAAAAAAAGAGCTAAAAAGAGCTAAATAATACTAATAGTAGCTAAAATATAGCTATATATTTTTGTTAACGTTGAACATTTATTGACGTAAGGTTGTTTTTACATTTTCGGCAATTTTAATAAAAAAAACGAATTTTATAAGTTTAAGTGCTGAAAAAATCTTTTTTAACCCAAAATAAGGTGCATATATTTCGAATTCTTTGCTATGACTAAAGCTAAAGAGCTAAATCTAGCTCCAAGTGCACCAAACTGGCAACACTGTGGCGAAGGCAAGACGCCGCAGTTCATTTGTTGCAGAAGTCGTTTGACTTGTTGCTGAAAGCCATTTGATTTCTTGCTGAAAGCCATTTGACTTGTTGCCGGAAGCACGACGAATGTAGTAACAGGCTAACCTAATATTCACTCACGCCGCCAATTTACTGTAAAAAATTTCTCATGCACTTACAACTTGTATGGTACCAACCAGTACCAACCATGATAAAGTGTACTGGTACTGGTACTGGATAATAGTAAGGTAGAACCGCTGAGAGGATTCTTTCAAATTCTAGATGCGTATCAAACGCAAGCCGCGAATATTAAGCGCCACGGAGACAATCAAATAAATACGTCATACAAGTAAGAGAAACACAGTTTTTTTATTATAGTAATTTTTATTTATGTAGTTTAACAGCTTATTTAATAACTTATTTATTCCGTTAGTTTAACAAAGAAAAATACGGTCTTTAAAATGCGTGACCGGAATAGACCTGCCGAAAAGGTGAGGTTAAGTAACTGACAACATCTTGTTATTATTCCTCCATGCACAAACCCTTCTTAAATTGATAAACAATGTTAGAGAAAATGTTTAGTTTCAAATGATAAACAATGCTGAGAATCATATTGAGAAATACGATTTTCTCAAACGTTTGTAAACTTTTGTTCCAGTGTTTGTTGGGAAGCGGTGAATCAGCAAAAACTAACGGGACAAAAATCGATCGACATTCATTCACTGCTGCCTCGAGTTGGCAGGCATTTACTCCCACTAGAACTTGAAGGCAGATCTCCCAATGTGAGGAATAAAAGAGTCCTCCCTTTGGCCTGATTACGGAGCAATAGGAGAGATTTGTCGATTTTGTTCTCCTTTATAATTCGCTTAGGAGTCAAATCGGAGATCTAAGTGAGCAACAAACGAATACTCCCAGAGGCATTATTTTGGAGTAATAAGCGATTTTTGTCGATTTTGTACTCGTTTAGGAGCATATATATAAGCAAAGTTTTGTTCATGCATTATATGGAAGAAAACGCGCAACACCCTCGACAAACAAATTCCAAAAAATCAACGGTAAATTTTAGCGACTTCAAACTTGCACTTTATTATACTAAAATTGAATGGCCTATAAAACTACAAATCTTGCTAGGAAATCTAATTTAAGAAATCAAAATTTTGTTTTTTTTTTTTAGTTTTATTAGTTTTTGTCAACTGTGTGCGAGCTTTGAAACTTTTATTTATGTGG